AGTTTGTTACCATGTTAGTAATTCAACAAGAGATTTAGTACATGTTCATATGGTCTCAGACAAAGTATTCTTTGTGCTCCGTTCTGTTGAACGTGGCTTAGAGTTAAGATTTATTTGCATGTCAACAAAGCAGATTGACATCGTAGACTAATATTAGTGTTGCGTACACGTCAAATGAAACACACAGAAGCCACACCGAAGCTTTCACGCGTTGTTTATCCATGTAAAATGTATTGGTCATGATGAAGATTCTTTTGTGCCAGCCTTTCTTATAACCTTGTTTATCTTAAGGTTCGTGTTTCGTTCTGTTTGCGTCACGGAGAGTAACAAACCCCATAGAGACTCTGGCCTGGCTACATGGTTCAGGTACAGGACAAAATTGAGTGGATTCATTAGGTGGTAGGTAAGAAAACCTGTGTGTTTACAGGTGTGCAACTGATAGAAGAAGGTACACAGGTGTGTATACATGCTGATGACCTTCATCAATTACAAAGTGGCCCATATTGAAGAGATTTACAACCATTTATAATCACTGTGTAATGTATGTTGATAAACAAAACTCTAAGACCCCCCTCCCCCCAGAAAGAGATGGTCCTTTGTTCGGTGACTGAATGACTTGGTCTAAAACTACATTTGTAGAGGACGCTACTTTGTAACTGGCGTTGTTGCTGTTTGTCTGTAACTGAGGGAGACCAAACAAATGCCATAAACAGACATTAAAGAAAACAAAAACACAAAATGCACACAAATTGTTGTTAATACATGATTGTGAAAAATATCAGACAGGTAAATTGTGGACTTATGTGTTCTTTTGTCCTGAATACAGGTTGTTCTGTGTCATTTCACAGGTGGTTTTGTCTAAAGACTGATAAGTGAGGGGGTTAGTCTAGCCAGACCACACCACATGTTTGTGGTCTGGCTCTGAGTTAGCAGTAACAGGTGTTTTTCTATTCACAGGTAGTAACTAGCTCTGCCTTGTGAGCTCTATAACAGTCTATGCAGAATACTGTTGCATTGCATTGAAACCTTTACTTGACTAGCCTCACGGGGATAGTATACAATCTTGAATTGTACTATTACTAACTGTTATTTACACCAAAATGTTGAAATATTGAAAAAATTACTTTACAGTTTTGTTCAAATGCAGACAATATTAATTATACTAAGAGGAAATTCTGGGTCAGATGTTTATAATGCCCTATTCTTTGGGAAATCAGTCACCTTGTTGACAGTGTATAGAACTCATCACCCAGGGGGTCTGTCTGAATACCACAGTCTCTCTCCATCACAATAGCCAGGCATGAGAACATGCTATTCCAAGGGATCCTATCCCCTGTTGCATACACTTAGAAGACTACAGTGCCCTTGGTTTTGGTTCCCCACATCACAGAGCATGTTTTTCCCCAACTTGTTGATCTTAACTTGCTCATTGTTTTGTCTGAGTGTTTTTACACGAAAAGTCGCTGTACAAATACGCGGTACTCCTGTCCCGCCGCTCGTGACATGTTGTAGAAACAGGAGAATTTCCGCTGTTTTTTAACCTGCTGTGAAGTTCAAAGTCAAACCCACAGGGTCGAGTTACACTGTGGAGCAATTGTTCTACAGGTCATCGACCTACTTTGTAATGCTATAATTATATACACTAATTGTAATTGTCTTATAATGATGGCAGGGGCATCTTGCCAGATCTTAATTAGACCCCCTGCCAGGGAATGATGTATTTTTTAGGCTAAACTAAGGAAGTGCAATTTCTGAAATCCAGGCTAGCACAAAATTAGAATGATGGAACAAATATTGAAGCTTTTACATCCACCTGGTCCAGCTTGAAGCAAAACAAATCAATACAGAGCTATTACAAAACCATGTATTGTGGACTTTTTTTCATTAACTAGGAAGCCTAAGTCAGTAATACAATGGAACCCATTGTGGAATAGAGACCGTCAGAAGGAAAACCTTTCACAAAGTGTTATGAGCTGTAGAAAGAAGTAGTTGTGATGTTTTGCTATGTTGTATATTTGGTCAGCAAGGAATGGCTTTAGGGATAAGCGATCAGGCATGAACACACATTCCAGCCTACAGTACTAGTCAGACTAGTCAATGTAGTGGTCACACATCCTTATACATACCGTACTAATAAACAATTACGACAAGTTCTAGATAATTATGACTTCATTATAGCATATATCATGCCTGATTTTCCATATACATGTATAATATTATATGCAACCTTCCTCCAATAACATTATACTGATTATGTAGAATAAGGCCCAACAATGCATCCAATCATTGTAATTAACATCCTGTCTATTTTGGGAACTGTGGGTAGTGCCCAGGCAACAGACCAGAATATTCTCATTATCTTATCTCAATCACCTTATACCCATGGGATCACTTGTAACAACTGTCATTAGGGAGGGTGGGGCAGGCACATTGTCTTGTTGAGAAAGAAAATTGTCATGAAACAAATCTACTAAGGGACTGTACGATAT